TAATAATATTGCATCTTCTACATAATAATCGATAGTTTGAAAGGGTTTTTTACAAGAATATTACTAAAATAAAACTTATTTACATCAATATGACTATTCATTACTATAACGTAGTACTGTGGTAACTAAAGTTCAAAACTGAACATGAATTACTATGATTTCATTACTATTCTAGTAATGAATCATATTTTTGTAAACCATCTTTATTTTGATCATATTTATGTAATTATTTCTTGAAAAATTATTTAACAATTGGTTTGTGTCAATGTTCTAAAAGAGTAAAAGGTACTAGGCGCTAGTCGGGCACTAGCCCAGCGCCTAGCGCCTAGGCGGCTAGGCAGGCGCCTAGGCGAGGACTAGTCGGAGACATATAAATTACATTTTATTTATATTTTTGCATAAATATGTTAAGTAATATTGTATTTTTGTGTGTATAAAATACATATATACATATACATTAACAAACATGAATGATAGAATTATCACATTTAATCATACGTAGTATATGATAACTAATCACTTAACTTCATTATGTTATATATATATAAATAATGATGAAATATAGGCATATATAGAAACACATATAGTTTTATCTTAATATACAACTTCATTTCTTTGTATCCATGACTAAAACTAAAGTACGTATATCGTTTAAAAAATTAAAATTTAGAAGTAAAGTAATGTTTGACAAATCTACCCGGCCTAGGCGGCCGATTAGGCGCTCTAGGCGGGCAACTAGGCGCTATAGGCGGCTAACTAATTCACCTAGACGGCAAACCAATTAATCGGAGCGCCTAGACAAAAATCGGGGCGCCCTGCCACCGCCTAGCGCCTAGACGGGGACTAGTCGGACGCCTAGAACGATTTTTAGAACAGAGTTTTGTGTAAATTAGATCTAACATATATACGAATAAATCAAAATAATACTATATTTTCTATTATGGTGAAAATATAATTAGTCATAGGATTGTCAATGATAAGGTACTTATCAAACAAGGGCATATTAGAAAAATTATTTTATTAAATCTTCCTCCCTTTTCTTTCAACCAACCACAAATGCTTGTTCTTCCTTCTCCTTCCTTCCCCTTCCCTCCTTTACTCCCCCCTTCCCTCCCCTCCTTATTACTACGTACGCCCTCCGTATTTAAAAGTTCACTACAGTAGCTTTGAGCATATTATTTAATGATATAATAGTAGAAGTAATGAATAGTGTAGAAAAAGTAGGAGAGAATGTGTAAAAGTACGAAAAATAAAATAAAAAGTAGAAAAAGCAAAGATAATTGAGTATTTTAAGGGAAAAACTTACTAAAAGGGGAAATGTAGCAAACTTTTAAATACATCCCAAAAAGAAAAATATGACAAACTTTTAAATACGGAGGGAGTATTATGTAATTTATTATTTTTGTGGTTCTTTATAGTAGCAATTAATAGATTCTACTTGTGAGTGCAATAAAATGAAATAGATCAAACTTTAGTAAAGATGTGCAAAAATAAAATGAAATAGATCAAACTTTAGTAAAGATGTGCAAATAATTAAAAATCACAAAGTTTACGTGATATTATAAAGAAATTGTGGAACACAACCAACGTGTGAGTGCAGTGGCGGACCTAGACATCGGTGGTCAGTGTATGCACACTAAATACTATAATAGTACTAGTATAGTACTCCCTCAAGTCTCCGTAATTTAAAACTTCGTTATCTTTGAGTTTCCTGGTCAACCAAGTTAAATTTTGTCCATTAATATATTTTTGTATGAAATAATTTACAATATAAATATATATGAGAATGATTTTTGTTAAAAAGTATTTTATAAAAGTATTAGATCTATAGCGTAGTTGTCCACTAATATTCAAGCATGACTTGAAAAGGCTTTATATATGATACTAAGCAGTGGCCATTGAAAAAAAGATCAAAGGAGCTAACCTTTTTACTTCATGTTTGTGGTCTATGAAATCTTAGTTTTAATCTTCTATGAATCATAAAAACTTAAGGCTATAATTGTACAGGACACTTGCTAAAATAAGATTACCCCTGATCTGCTATAATTTAATTTCTTCTTTAGTTATGGGTTTCCGTATTTCATTGCCAACTTTGATGAATTTCCTCAGAGCCTAAAGCAGAAGCAGGTCATATCTAACTGACAACTCTGTCATTATATTTTTTTTTAGCTAATGTTGTACTTGTGAGCTAGTCATTGTTGATGATATCTATTGTGACCTTCCACTAGGTCTATACATGATTCGTGGAGAAAACGTTGTGCTGATAGGTGAACTGGTATGTTGTGTTGTCTTTTACTAATATTCTTTTTAGCTTTTATGTTTAATCTTAACTTAAAAGATTTTATTTTACTGCTTAGGATTTGGACAAGGATGAGCTTCCCCCACACATGACTTGTGATTTCTTATCATATGCGAAATAAGAAAATTTTACACTCCTAATTTCTCTTTTTATTATTTTTTAAGTCACTATATTTTCTATCTTATGTCCAGGAAAATAGGAGAACATGTACACTCATTTATTAATTGGATTATGGAAGTATTTTAATCACTCTGTGCTTTTCTATCTTATGCTCAGGAAAATAGGAGAAGAAAATGCAGACTTCTTTATCTATTGGATTATGGAGTTGTATCGAAAGTTGTTGAATTTGCTTTTAATGCAGCTTCAAATTAAATTATGAGAAAATTTCGAATTTTGATCATAGCCTTCAATTTGAAAAATGATTATTTACTCTCTCAATTAGTGTTCAGTGAGACTTTTATTATAAGTATGATTTTTCTCTTCTTTTTTAACTTGAACTTTCGAATTTCAATCGTAGAAGGAAACACTCCCGGTCTCAAGAAGTTACGATTACATTTCATTTTAAATTTTCTAATTCTGCTTTTCAATTAAGTTTCTTGATTTCTCTCCCGGTCTCACTTAAAGTTCTTAACAGGACACATTTTCAACCTGAGTTTTTGATTTCGTAGTTCAGGATTTAATTTGTTTTGATCTTGGATATGTCTTCAGTTAAACCTTCGGATACTTCCAAATTCCAATAATGGAGTGTTCAAACGGCTTAGTTTAAGCAAACTATTATTTTGGTTGGTTTTCTTTAAACTTGAGTTTCAGGAAATATAATTGACAAATAAACTCAAATCAAGATCTGTTATGCGTTCCGGCCGATTGCTCATAGTCCAGGAATTAGTGTTGGGTTATCTTGCTGCATCATGATTGAGGTAACTGAAATGGTTTAAACTTTCAATTACATTGCACAGAATTGAGCTGATGCAATTGAGAGCTGTTTTGAAACTACTTCGTTACATTTTTCATTATCAAGCCAAAAGACAAATATGATAGTGATTTTCTGAAGCTAAAACACTACATGTTTCCAGATTATATAAATCATTAAATGAAGATTTCCTCATTTCCATAAGCACACGTGAGTTCATTAGTACGGAGTAGTATTTTTATTGATGTGGCATATGAATGATTTTTATATGACATTCATATTATTGTATTAGGAAATAAACAAGAAAGAAGATGCACTCTCCTTGAGAGATTCCTTTGATATTTACAATGCATAATTTGTGGTGTTAATATCATAGGACAACTCCACTTGATCTGCCATATTAATACTTACTTATATGGCACAGATATTAATACTTACTTATATGGCACAGTTGATCTGCCATATTAATACTTCCAATAACGGAGTGTGCTTAATACTTTCACCATATTGATTGTTATCTTATTACTTGGTATCAAGTGTTGCTTTGTTGATATATGGTACTTTGAGTAGTTTGTTTGTATTTATTATTAAAATAAAACACAAGTGTTAAACTTATAATTCAGCCTCAGTATTGTGCCCCTGACCTTGCATCTTCTATTCAGCCATATTAAAAAGAAGATGCACTCTCCTTAAGAGATTCCTTTGACTATAGAAAACACAAATGGCACAAGTAAAAGTGAACTCGCAACTATTACTCAGAAAAATTCTTGATGCCAACTACTGAATATCTAAGGGTGGTGCGTAGTTTACCTTTTTCCCTTTTGACTAGGGTAAAATGTTCACCTATCTCCATAATTGCAGTATTTTCTATACTAAATAACTTGTTGTATGTGTTATCATGAATTGATCTTCATCTGAAGGAAAAGGGTGCACTTAGTTCTTGCCAACTACCAATTCGACAAAGGACATCACTACGTCATTTTTAATCCATATTCATCATTAACATTTTACTAACCATTATATCTATATCTATCATGGCAGGGGTGCGCCATATCTTCATGAGCGAGTCAAGTGTTATTGTCTTGTGGATTAAAAGCCAATGCAAGCTGATAATTTACCCTATTCTATGAAGGGAATAATATGGTTTGGGACTGAGAACAGTCCAAGTAAAAACATACTTATTACACTAATACATGTTAGCCCTTTCTCCTTTTCTTTCTTTTACTTTATCAAATACATATGTTGCTAGAGGAATGGGGAATAAGGTTTTGAATTGCTACAATGTCGATTGAAAAACAAGTTTTGGTGTTGTTGGATCGAAGTGATCGAATATGTGTTTGTCTTAATTTATGTGTAATGACATTGAACATGAGCCAAGAGCATCTGAAAATCGTGAGTGTTTTCTTGCAAAATCCTACTTCTATGTGTGAAGTTTTATGTTATAGTTTCAAAGGTGCAAAAGTATGTTTGACTTGAAGTTTTGTGGAGTGACAATGAAAGAAATTTGAAAAACTATGAAAAAACATGCTTACAACGGGATTTTGAATAATTTGTAACTTGGGAAGTTATAAGTCTCTTAAAAATTGCTATTATTTATTTATAATTTTCTAATTCGAGTGATAAAATTTAGGATTTATAACTATGTTATACGGAGACGATCAAAAGAAAAAAACTATGTTATAAGGAGTATATTTCAACATTAAAATATCATCATATAACATCCCGTACAACGCACAGGTGGAATACTAGTGGGACATTTATTTTGATACGTCACAAAAGGGAAAGTGGGTCAATTAATTTGATACGGAGGGAGTACATAATAAATAGAATATATTGAGCATATATTCTAACGTATTCTAACACTCCTGCGCAGTCTTAGCGGGAGCTTCGCGGACGTTAAGGCGTGCACAGAAATCCTGCGCAGTCTTAGCGGGAGCTTCGCGGACGTTAAGGCGTGCACAGAAATCATCAAATAAAACACGGGGAATCCCTTTCGTAAAAATGTCTGCAATTTGATAGCGTGAGGGAACATGTAGAACTCGTACTTCACCTTTAGCAACTTTTTCACGAACAAAATGAATGTCCATTTCGATATGTTTGGTCTGCTGGTGCTGCACCAGATTTCGGGACAAGTAAATGGCACTCACATTGTCACAATACACAAGTGTGGCTGTAGAAAGTGGGCAATGAAGCTCTAGTAATAAGTTTCTGATCCAGCATGTCTCAGAGACAACATTGGCAACTCCACAATACTCTGCTTCTCCACTAGAACGGGATAAAGTTGGCTGGCGCTTGGAGGACCATGAAATTAGATTGTCCCCAAGAAAGACACAATACCCTGAAGTGGACCTTCTAGTATCTGAACAGCCTCCCAATCAGCATCAGTATACGAGATAAGCTTATCAACGGAAGATTTATTGAAGAATAAACCATGAGACATGGTACCTTGCAAATAACGAATGATACGCTTAAGATCACTCATATGCTCGGTGTGTGGATCATGCATGTGAAGACAAACTTGTTGGACCGCGTAAGAGATGTCTAGTCTAGTAAAAGTAATATATTGCAAGGCACCTACAAGATTGCGATATTGAGTAGGATTTTCAAACGGAGTTCCTGGAGATGCATTCAGTTTAGGCTTAGTGTCAATGGGTGTGGGACATGAGATGCAATTAGTCATGTCGGCCCGATCAATAATATCCGCAATATATTGTTTCTGATATAAAAATAGACCATGATGATCACAAGTAACTGCAAATCCAAGAAAGAGAGAAGTCAGAGCAATAAGTAAGAGAGAGAGAGTCAGATGTATTAAATGAACTCGAGAAGTTGGGATCGTTTACAAGGAGAAGGGAGCTGCTATTTATACCAGCCATAAATGTTAAGCGAGTACACATGTCAATCCTCTAATGGCCGAGGGTCACGTCCATCATGGTGGCCCCAGCATTTGCATGTGCACCGCATTAAATGCGGTGGTTGAATGTGACGCCGCATTGAATGCGGTGGTTGCATGTCTTCAGAGGAAGCTTCGTAGCGCGTAGACCCTTCGGACTGGATTATATGGTCGAAGGCTTCATGTATGGCCAAAGGCTTCATGTATGGCCGAAGGCTCCCCGACCGAGGGCTACTGCCTTTCTGTCGTTTTCTCTCAGTAGCTTCACATGCCCAAATCTAGCTGTCTCCGGGTGTTTGGAGCCCTCGACCATAGGGCCGAAGTCATCTTCGTTTGCACCATGGGCTTCTCAATGCTTGGGCCGTTATGTTTGGGTTTTATGTGCTCATTGAGCTTGATGGGCCTGTGTAGGAGAAGTATGAGTCTATGGGCCGGGGGTCCCTGGGCCATATAAACTTTTTCATAAAAATGATTTGTGATATGAAGTTTAAATAAAAGTACATACCTTACCATAAAATATCACACAGTGCACACATGATATATTGTATTGGGTAATTTGGGATATTGGTGAATGTGTTTTCCTAATAATTGTACTTGAAGTTGGTGCTAATTAAAAAAAAAACGTTAAATAAAAGCACCTCCTTGTTGCTTTGAGCTTTTGGATCAAGAATGACGGAAATTAAGCAAAAGTTGGTGTTTACAAACGTAACTTTTTCAATTGAGAGTAGTCCGTTTGGTGACACTATTTTTCGGCTTATCATGCTTATTAGCCAACTTTTTAATCAAACACATAACTTTTGATTCCGCGCGTTGAATTGTGTAAGGTTGAAGTTACTTTTGTGTCTGTATTGGCTGAAGTTACTGTCGATGACTATTTTTGCTATTTTTTCATATAATTTATTCTTTGTTTTATTCGAGAACAATCTTTCTGTATATCAACATAATCAGCCAATACACTCATTTTAGCCAGAACTTCATAAACTTCAACAGAGTCAGCCGATACAGTCATTTCAGCCAGAACTTCATAAATTTCAGCAGAATAAGCCGATTCAGCCAATTTTAGTGCTACCAAACAAAAAGCTGAAAAGCACTTCTAAAAAGTAAAAACAATACTCCGTAACAATTTTAGAAATAACAAACCTAGCCTTATAAGGCAAATTGTACATTTGTACGTTACCTCCAATTCTACCGTAGTACGGTACAATACTTTGATTATGCAGACCAATTAGATAGTGCAAATGAACAATTTAAATATTATTACTACTAATTAATCAAATGTACTATAGACATGGTATCCATTTATATATACTACCTTCGTCCCGAAAATGTTAGTCAAAGTTGACTTTCACGTGGATTAATAAAGTAAAAACTGTGTGATTAAAATTTATGTAGAGAAGAGAAAATTAACTTTAGTCGTATATTCCTTACTTTAAATGAAAATAACAAATCTTTTTGGGACATCCAATAAAGTAAATTTGGTCAACCCTTATAAGACGGAAGGAGTATAATGAAACATAAAGGGTAATTAAACGAGGATGCTAGTCATGGGAGCACACCAAGTCGCTAAATAGACAGCTAACCATGATATGAAACTAGCTAGTACATACGAGTACATATAAAGCCATCTCCAATGTGACTTGGATCTTCATATCATATCTTTTCCGGAAATATTTTCTCTTACGTTGTGGTAGGTATTAATTTATGCGGGCCAAACAGACCTTAATTTTAGCATGCACAAACATACAAAAAGAAACATGTGCCCAACCACGTGTTTGATAATTGTGTATTGTCAGCGTCTTAATTTGTTGGGTTATATTCGAAGAACTGTTCACACCATTACTACACATCGTGCTCCGATCCAATGGTACGTACGTACACACCAACAAATTGAAATGCCACTCCTCTGATCCATCGCTATATAAGTCCTTCCTTGAGTTACATACCCACAAATACATCCGGTCCTACGGGGTGAGGACGCGACCGGTCGCCGATTCCGCGACTCACTCTCTCTTATGAGAGGTCTCAGGTTTGAAACTTAATAGAGTGAGTTTCAGCCCAGTTTACTCCAGACCCCCAGACCCCTCCCTCAGACGCCCCCTGAAGACTGAAGTAAAAAAAAAACTTACGATCGTACGGGGTATGTATAAGACTCAACTATGGCAATTTATACCGTGCAACCGGCGCACCATGAGGATGGTGCGCCCGGTTGCAAAACGACGCATGGCTTCATTCAAAACGACTTCATTCAAAACGACGCAGAGCTTCATTCCATTATTTTTTTTTCTTTTATTGTTAAAAAGTATAATAACTTTTTGATTTGATATCCGATTTTTATAAATTTTATATCAAAATTTTTTATTTTTCATGATCTATCAAATGAGACCAATATTGCTTATGTAATTTTAACAAATTATGGAACTATTATATAAATGATTATTGGATTATAAGGAAAAGTGAACTAAATTTAATACAAAAAAAATAATTGTGTATATAAAAAATCATTGAGTTACATGTGAGTTACATATTTTTATATGTGAAGTTACATATTTTTACCCGTAAGTTACATATTTCTACACGCGAGTTACATATATATACACACGAGTTGCATTTGACCTACCTGAACGCGAGTTACATATATTTACACATAAAGTTACATATTCTTACACGTGAGTTACATTTGACCTGTCTGAACGCGAGTTACATATTTCTTTTTACGTAAAGTTACATATTTTTACACGTAGAGTTACATATTTATACACACGAGTTACATTTGGCCTGACTGAACGTGAGTTACATATTTTAACACGTAAAGTTACATATTTTTACACGCAAATGTTAATATGTTAAAATTACATAGGCAATATTGGTCTCATTTGAAAGATCATGAAAAATAAAAAAATTTGATATAAATTTTATAAAAATCGGATCAAAAATAAAAAAATTATTAACAATTTTAAGAAAAGGAGAAATAAAAAATAACAAAGGGTGCATGGTGCTCACCATGCACCGGTTCCACGGTATAAGAACTGCTCAACTATGGGTGGATGCGTTTCGGGTCGTTCCGGGTGGATGCGTTTCGGGTCAACTATGGTACCCATAAAGTAGTAACATACATGTGTTTATATGATCCAATTAAAATGTTGTAGTTGAAATATTTAAATATAAATTAAAAATGATATAATGATTTGGACCATCCAATCAAGTGAATGATAGATATAATACTCCATTATATTTTTTAAATGGTACTCGAGTTATCACCTTATTTATTACAATTATACAATAGTAGGCAACTAAATATAAAGCCTCGTTGAACATAACATAAACTAAGTCATATTACACTATTACATGATATGTTATTTGTGAAATGTTTGACCAGTAAATTATAGAGTAAATTCCTTAAATGGGACTAAAATAAAAGATAATTGCTCAAATAGGACTTCATTTGAAACTATGTTTCATAGGACTTAAAATCACCTACCTGGTCAAAAATGCCCTTAATGAAACTTTATTTCAATTTATAATTTAAAAATAAAATAAAACTTAAAGAAACCCTAAAACTTTCATCGTAGTAATGGGATTGCAGCTGCTGTTGCACCATGCCCCCTGCCGCTGCCATCACTGGTGAAGCCCGCCGCTGCCTTCACCGCCGGTGCCTGCCGCCGCTGCCTTCACCGCCGGTGCCTGCCGCCGCATCACAACTTTGGTGCCATTCATCTGCCATTAGGTTGGCAGATTTAGCTTTGAAGAGTATTTGGAATCTGCCATCAACAATGTTTTTCATATCTGCCATAAAGTTGGCAGATTTATCTTGGAAGTTTAACAAAAAATGTCATAAATTTGGCAAAAATATGAGTTCAATAACCAAATATACAAAAAAAATCAAATAAAATGAAATAAGCATTTTAACACAAACAAAAATTAAAAATAAAAAGTTATTAACAAAACATTTGAGAAATCAATTTACACAAAAGCATTTTTGCCATAATACGATTGTCAACGTTCATATTTCTGCCATAAACTTGGCAGAATCGGAAACCATCACCCAAACTTTTGGAAAATCGAAATTTAAAAAAACTAAGAGATCAGAAATAAAAACTCAGAAAATACAAAACAGAATTCCTAAACATTGACAAAATCAATGTCAAATTCCAAAAAAACATAAGAATATGAAGACGATAAGAAGAATCAATGTTTAATCTGATTAAAATAGAGGGATAGAAGGAGGAAGAAGAGAGGGAGGAGTAGATCGGGGAAAGAACAAGAAGAAGGAAGAAGAAGAAGAGGAGAAGAAGAAGAGGAAACCTGCGATGGGCGTGGTGAAGTTGGTCGTGAAGAAGTTCGCACTAGGAAGAGGATGGACGAAAAGTACTTCCTTGTACCGTTCATAATCTTGAGTCAGTCCTTGTGGAGGCATTGGGCTAGGGACCAGCACATTCTTAACATATGATTCTAGATGATGGCTTAATTCCAAATACAAAAGTTGGGAATGATTTTAAATTAGAAGATGGTACTCTGAGTTCACCGACGGAAGCTGTCAAAAAATTTGAGGACTGCTTGGAAGACATTATGTCTGGTGAAAAAGGTCATGAGGGTTACACACTGATGCAGCAAAGGGTTCTGGTTAAAAAAGATGACCCATCTGAAACTGGAGCTTTTGAAAAGATCGTGCTTTTATTTTATATTTGCATTGTGCAAGTCCAGATATGTGCTGAACCTTTCTTCTTTTAATTTGACATTGACATATACATGTATACCTTTGTTCTGCAGATTTATGATGAATTTTGCCCACCATTACAGAGCCAATTCAAGTCAACGCGTTGAGCAACAAATAAAAGCCAAAGAGAGCTCTGCTATGCAGAAGCCCAGAAAGATCTGCACTGATTAGGTCTGCACATATGACTATTTGATGTGTGAAAATTTGAAGGCGTTCTTATATTGCCTGCTCTTGTTTGACTATGTTCGTTTAATGTTTTTAATATGGAGGACTGGAACTTGCGGGTTTTTCATATTAATGTTACTTTGGTTAGTAATTTTTTTGTAAACTGCAGGAAAACCATTTTTTATCGTTAAAGAACAAAGTTGAGCACTATGTTAAAATGGCAGAACTGATAGAATGGCATGGTTGGTTATTAACATAGCGAACTCGATTGGATTCCACTTCTATCGGAGTACTATTTTCCAGTAGCTAATTATTCTCCCAAAGAGTGGCATGGTTGGTTATTGCCCTAAATGATAGCTCCCATGGCCTGAGAAATTACTTGTTGTCATCTTCTTTGCAAAATGACTTTGTCACCAGGTTTGATCTTCTCAGTTTTTCATCTATTTTTTTCTTATGGTGAACACTCGACAAAAAAATTGTGTTTTTCGAAGCTCTAGTTTTTAGAACTTGTATTTTCACAGAAATAATTTTCTTCTACAACTTTTTCTTTCTTTTTTAAAACTTGTATTTTCACTGAAATAAAAATGGTGTATGATAGAGTATTAATTCTAGAGAGAAGTGAGAGCTAGAGAGAGAAAGTGAGTAATTATATTTCTCAACCCCTATAACTAGCCCCAAGGGGTCTATTTATAGGAAAAAATGTGGATTTGGGCTCCTAGCCATGGGCTTAGGAGGCCCATTACAATAATCATGCCTTCTTTGGGCGAAATAGGACCATTAATGGGCTATGTACAACACTTAGTAAATAAAGTAGAGAGATGCATCCTGCCCGGCCGAAGTCTGGCCGATGCGGTGCCTTTTGGCCGATGCGGTCCCCTGGCCGATGCGGTCCATGGGCCGATGCGGCCCCGGGAGTCCAAGTGTGCTTCCTGGGCCGGTTTGGTTTCTGGCCGATGCGGGCCCGCTGGCCGAAGGGGCCATGTGGGTGTTCTTCTGGTCGTCATTGATTTGAGTATGTGGGTCATGGGGTCCAGGCCCATATACTCTATCAGGAGTCCCCCACTCTCTGAGCTGAGGCGAAGCCGAGGCGAAAGGGAGTATTTGTTCTTTTCTGGCTGGCCGTTGTGTGGGCTCAAGGTGCTTGTTGGCCGAAGAGTTTCTGTTTTGATTTTGGGATGAAGCGGTTCCCTCTCTTGATGTAGACGGAGCGCGCTTGAGGATTCATAACTTTGGTGCGGGCCGATGCGCTCTTTGTGAAGTGTTTTTGAGGACGTTGCGGTGCGCTTTCTTTCCAGTAGATGTGAATTATGGAAGAACTGGCCTGTTTTATCACCATTTGTTGGGGCCGAAGAGGTCCCCATGTACTTCTTGCCGTTGTGGTGACATGGTTTTATGGAGCATAGATGTTTGGTCTCGTTTATGAGGATGATGCGGTCCGCATGCTTGTGATCTGTTATGTGGCCGAAGCGCTTTTACTTGTGTATCCTTGCTTTAGTGAGCCGGCGCAGTTCCTCCGTGTGTATAGCCGTTGCGTGCTGGTCTTGTGCCTTTGGGCTTTTGAACTTCTGGTTTTCATAGCCGATGCGATCTTTTGTGCTGTCGAGGTGCATTTGTTTCACGCATCGACTATCGGTGAACCGTAGCGTACCTCTTTGTTGTTGTTTTTTTTTTCAAGCCGTTGCGTTTCCATTTATGTTGTTTCCCCTTTTGTAGCCGATACAGTCCCCCAGTCCCCCACTCCTTTGGCCGAAGAGTATCTGAGGCACAAGGGAGTCATGATGTTCTCGAGCCGATACGGTACCCATGCGTTAGTCGTGAGTCCGACCCTTAGGCGAACCTGTCCAAGGTAACCCTGTGGGAGAACCCTTGGACGAAGGCCGCAATACCAGGGTCATCATCAAACGATGTGCGTGTGAGTAGCCGTAGCGGTACTTGTGTTTCTTGGGGTTGATTTGGGGCCGTAGCGTGTTTGCTGATGCGGCCATTTCCTTGGTACATTGGGCCGTAGCGAGTTTCTTATTGCGTTTGAGCAAGTAGGCCGGTGCCTACCCCTAGTTTCGGGGCCTGTTGGGCCGTAGTGGTGGCTTTAGAGTGGAATGTGAAAAGACAAGCGCTGATTGGCTTTAGGAGAGGCGCCGTTGAGGTGCCCAATTGGGGATTGCCACGTGTAGTGACCGTTGGAGGGGTGCCTATAAATACCCCCAATTCCGAAGCCATTCCCTCATTTGCCTTTTGCCTAAGTCGAATTGCTGCTGAGATTCCTAGAGAGAGAAGTGGTTCCCCGAATCTCCAGGTGTTCAAGTGTTCTTCAAAACTTCAAGGTTAGGTTCTTGTAATTGTTTCTTCATTTTTCCTTATACTTTGCTTCCTAGGGGGTTAGATCTAGTGTTCGTAGGAAAGTCACTTTGATCCGAAAAACCGCCCTTAGGAATAGGTTTAGGTGTTATGCCGTTTCCTAACGGCCGTAGCGTTCCCTCCCCCGTTGATTTGACAGCTTCTTTGGACGAGTCGGATTGGCCTTTTGACGAGGACGATACGTCCCCTGGGGTTGATCTTCGACTGATTGAAGCCTTCGAGATCGAGATGGAGAATACCGCCGACTACTGCACCTCCGTAGATGAGGAGAGAATGAGTGCCGACGCGGGAGCACATAATTCTGGTGAGGACGAGGCGACATCTAGTTCGCCTCTGAGGGGGGATGAGGCATCCTCGTCTGCCCGCATTCCTTGTCCTCCGCCGATATCGTCAGTAGCGGGGGAAGGCCCCTCGGCTCCTAAGACGAAAAAACCGTACCGGCGGAAGCATCGTAAGGGAGTACCGCAGGGGTTTTCACAGTTAGATCTCAGCAACTTGTACATCATTCGGCCGGAGGGGACCCTCGGCGATTATCACGTTGCGCAGCTGTACGTCGGTCCCTACGGCCGTGTCAGAGCCCCCTTGCCGTCGGATCATGTTCTGAACCCGCCTTTGGGCTATTTTGGTGTCTACCCGATGAGTTTTGCCAAGGGTCTGAGATTCCCTCTTCATCCCTTCATCAAGGAGTATCTTGAGATGGTGGAGCTCCCTCCGGCCTTATTGACTCCCAACAGCTTTTCGCTCATCATCGGCTTCTTGATCCGGTGTAAAGAGTTGGAGATTCCGCCGACGACTGCCCTGTTTATGAACCTGTTCCGGATAGGCTGAGGGAGCCATCAAAACTGTGCCGGCTACGCAACCCTGCAGCAGGTTAGTGGGAGGAGGTCGTTTACGGATCTCCCTACGTCCATTCATGGCTGGAAGGCCAAGTTCGTGTTCGTCACCTTGGGTCAGGGTGGCTTCTTTCCTTCCAATGGTCACAGCGGCCTCTTTGAATTGCATACCCCCCCTTGGAGTGCCGAAATAAGTAATCAAGTAGAGGCCTTTATTAAGGGGGGGCCGAGGAGCATCAAGACATACGTTACTGAGTATCGGATGGCTGCTCTCGGCTTCGTGAGATACTATTGTCCTGGTGATGTCGATGATGATCTTTGGCCGAAGATGGTGGGGTCTTATGAGCAAGCCGATGGGCCCCGTCTAGGCGTGCCGGCTGAGGCCGAAGGTTGACCTCCTTTCTTTATCTTTTCATGATGTTTCGTTTTCCTTTGCTAACCCTTGTGTATTTTTGTGCAGGCTTCGATATGGATCGCATGTCATTTATGGCTCGGGCCGCCAGGAAGGCCGATGCGGAGTTGAAAGCTGCTCAAGCTGCCGAGGCAGCAAAGAAGTCTGCGGGCGATTCCCAGGGGGGTGTTGAGGCCGCTAAGAAGCCTGTGGCTAAGAAGAGCAGGAGGGCTGCTGATGAGGGCCAAAAGACTCTGGCCGAAGCGGGGCTAAAACTGAGCCAGGCTTCGAAGAAGACGAAGAGGGCTCCCACGAATGAAGAGGCCGGCGCCCCCTCATCTCAGGCTGTTGCGGATGTTCAGCCGTCGGCGGTCCCTCCTGTGAATGATCCCCCTTCATCGGCCGTTGTGGCCTCGGCTTCTCGAGTTGCTCCCTCTACTGCCGCTGCCGCCCGTTTGGAGGAGGCTCTTGCTAAGGGGTCGTATGAGGTCTCCGTACGATACCCTGTCAAAGGTGGTCTTTTCAACGAGACCGTCGGTGGTGATGACATGCTTGCTCAGGCTATGCCTGAGTATGATCGCCAGTATCTCGGCCGACAAGGCCAGCATGTTCGGCTGTACGACGGAGGGATGGACTATGTCGTCCAGGTAAGACATTTTCCTTAGAGATTTTTTTTTTCTTTGCTTTTGTTTCTCTTCTGATTTCAAATTCCGCTTTGTCCAGGGTGCCCTAATGCTGCGGGAGCAGCACTGGAGACAGGAAGCCGAAATAGAGCGGCTAAAGAAGATGGAGGCAAAGGCTGTCTCGGCCGATGAGGCTCTCCAAGATCTGAGGGACAAGGCCAAGGCCGCGGAGGGTGAAATGAAGCTCCTTCAGCTGCGTCTTGATGAGGCCGAGTCAGCCCGGAGAAAAGCTGATGAGGCCGTTGCCGTTGCCGTCCAAAGAGCCGAGGAGGCGGAGCGGCTCAAAGCCGAGGCGGAGGGGGCTGCTGAGAAGGCCGTAGCCGACTTCAAGGCCGAGGGGTGGAAAGCCGAGGACCAGCTCCCCTTCTGCTATGAGGTGGTTGCTGAGAGGTTGAATGATTGGACGACGAAGGACCCCGCCGGCCAAGAATTCTGGATGAACGAGATGCAAGCTTTCTACGACTGTGGTCAGTACAGAATGCAGAAGCTGATCTACAGGAAGCTTCGTCGTCGCTTCCGGAAGATGAGGCCGAGGGGTCTGAGTCTCCCTCGGCGAATGAAGAATCCTGACGAGGATTTGAAACTCCCCCTGTTGGAGAAGCAGCCCTCGATCCTAAGTTCGTCTGAAGGGGAAGAGCCGTGGAGTGATAGTGACGACTATTTGCTCGAAGGGCCTGCCGACTCCCAAGCCGATGAGGGTGGTGGTGATGATGATGCCGATGACGGCCACGGCGACGGTGCTGTTGATGGTGGAGTGCCAGCTAATGTTGTAGCTTAGTATTTTTTTGTATTAGTTTTTGTAGCCATAGCACTGAAGTGCATGTAATGGCCGAAGCGCCCACCTCTTGTATCTTTTCATCCATTAATGATAAATCTTTTTGTCACCATGATTCCCTCGTCGTCTTTGTAGTTAAGTATGTTTGCTCTTGTAAAATTATCTAAGTGTCTCGAGGTCGTTGGCGTCCCTTGATTGAGACGTAGCGATTTTCTCGCCTTTACTGTCCTTGGGGACGATGCGTCTCCTCGTCCCTTAGTGAATTTTTATTTTTTCCTTGGCAAATCTTGTCCACGTCTCAAGTTTTTTGAAGTGTTGAGGACGAAGCGATGCCCAGATATGGAATGGTAGCGCATCGTCTCTCTTGTAGAGTGGCGAAGAAAATGTTCTAAGTGTCCAACTTGCCTTGATGGAGCTGTTTTGCTTTGGCTCGTTACTTGGGTTTTGCTACGGGGAGACGACGCGACCCTTTACCTAAGTCATGGATTGGTTTTGAAACCACAGTGAATCCCTCTTGTGAAGCTGTGGTTGCTGCCGAAGCGTGTACTTCGGCTTCCTGTATGGTGAAAACCTGATATGTACTTAGCCGATTTGAGGCTTGGTTGTTTGGGGATTTTGTTTTTTGCTCGAGGCCGGCGAGTGCGCGGTCCGTCGGCTTCCCTCTTCTTTTTTTTTTTTTTTTTTTTTTTTTTTTTTTTGAGTGGCCGAAGGGTTACTGTCCCTTCGTCCATGTGCGGTAGTTTGTCCGCTACGCTTTTTGCGTGAATTAGTGCGAGGGAGTAAATACGCCCTCGGTTTGGTGTGTCAGTGGCCTCTTTTTTGGCCTTTCCACGTCTATCGTCGACGAGGGACCGGACTAGGCATCGTCTTTTGATGGCCGCCCTTTGTGGTCCTGAGCGAAATTTTACTGACGGGTGGAGTTTTTGTAACCTCAGCCTTAATTCAGGCCTGTCGTCCTGCGGTTTCCGCGCGGACGACGCGGTATGCTTCTCCGTTTGAAGACGTTGGACCATGCACACAGGTCCTTCGTCCTGCATATCGCCGGCCGATTTGGGTGTTTCACCGCTTGTGCCGATACGATATTTAGGTGCGTTGTCTATGCAACGGCTTTGTAGGCGCGTTGTGGATCGCAACGGCCTTAGGTGCGTCGTTTCTCTTGTGACGGCTTTAGGTGCGTTGTTTATTGCAACGGCTTTGGGTGCGTCGTTTATTGCGACGGCTTTTAGGTGCGTTGTTTATTGCAACGGCTTTAGGTGCGGCGTTTATTGCGACGGCTTTAGGTGCGTTGTTTATTGTAACGGCTTTAGGTGCGGCGTTTATTGCGACGGCTTTAGGTCGCATCGGTCCCGGGTGTTTTGCACCGCTTAGGCCGATGCGGTCCTTAGGTTTCCCTTAGCTCAAATCTTAAAAGATTGGATGAAACATGAATTTTATTCAATAAGTGGCGCTAGGCCGAGGGTGTTTTATTCAACCAATAAGCCGAGGGGTGGGGGACTTTGCCCGCTTCACCACTTCTCGAGTCATTGGTAAAATTTCACCAGGTGGTGTACATTCCACAATTGTGGTACATCTGACCCATTGGGGTTCTTTAGTCTATAAGTGCCGGCTTTGACGACGACGCTGATGATGTAGGGCCCTTCATATTTGACGGCGAGCTTTCCTCCTTCCGTCGGCTTGCTTGCTTCCCTTCGGCGGAGGACGTAGTCCCCCACCTGGAATTCACGAGAGCGGATCTTGGCGTCGTAGTAGGATTTGACTTGTCGTCTGTAGTTCTCCGCTCTGAGGTAGGCCATTTCTCGTCTCTCGTCGATGAGGTGTAGGTCCACCTTCATTGTTTCTTCATTGGCCTCGGGATCGTATTGTGTGACCCGTCGGCTGGGAAGCGTCACCTCAGTGGGAGCCTTGGCTTCGAAGCCGTAGCACAAGGAGAATGGTGTCTCCCCGGTGGCCCTCCTCGGCGTAGTGCGGTAGGACCATAGGACGTTGGGGAGCTCGTCGACCCAACTTCCGCCTTCTTCTTCGAGCTTCTTCTTTAGCCCCTCCAAGATGGTTCTGTTGGCGTTCTCAACTTGCCCGTTGGCCTGAGGGTAGGCGACGGAGGAGAAACGGTGCTTGATACCCCATTCTTGGAGGAGGCTTTGGAACGGTTCGGCCTCAAACTGGGTGCCGTTGTCTGATATGATCTCCTGAGGCACGCCGAAGCGGGTGAGGATGTTCTTGTAGACGAACTTTCGACACCGCGCTCCGGTGATGCTTGCGAGTGGTTCGGCCTCGACCCATTTGGTGAAGTAATCAATGGCGACGATGATGTATCTGTTGTTGCCCGCGGCTCTTGGTAGTGGGCCGACGAGGTCAATGCCCCATCTGGAAAATGGAATGGCGGTGCTGACCGAGGCGTAGTTGACGGCGGGTCGGCCAGGTGCCCTTTGATAGTGTTGACATGCGCTGCATTTGCGGGCGACCTCAGCACAATCACGCGCCATCGTCGGCCAGAAGTAGCCTTGGATGACGAGGCGGCGCGACATGCTGAAGGGTCCCTGGTGTGATGAGCATACACCGCAGTGGACTTCTTCCATGGCCACTTCGGCCTCATTCTGGTGTAGGCACCGGAGGAGGGTGCCATTGTATGATCTCTTGTAGAGCTTGTCACCCTCAATGACATAGCTAGGAGCCCTGAGCTTGGCTAGTTTGGCCCTCTCCTCGTCTTCTGGTAGTGTGCCGGAGGTGATGTAGGTTGCGATGTCAGTGATCCAATCCTCCGGCTGATGTTGTATGGAGAGTATGGGACTGGCGTGAATGCTTGACATGCTCAACTCCTCCACCTTCGCTATCTTGGAGATGTGCTCAGGAGTGTCGGAGCTGAGTTTGGAGAGTATGTCGGCCTCGGCGTTCTCCGCCCTCGGGATCTGAGTGATCTCGTAGGTGTCGAATGCCTTAAGCAATTCCGCAGCGGCCTCCTTATATTGCTTCATCCTCCCTTCTTTGGCTTCGTAGGAACCCTCCATCTGGTTCACTACTAGTTTGGAGTCGCATTTGATTCTGATGTGGCGCGCTTTGAGGCCAGCGGCCAGTCTGAGCCCACTGAGGAGCGCTTCATACTCAGCCTCATTGTTGGACACCTTGAAGTTGAAGCGGATGGCATAGTATGCTCTGAAACCTTCCGGGGAGATGAGGACGACGCCACCCCCACAAGCTTTGGTGGCCGAGGACCCGTCCGTGTAGAGGGTCCAGGCTTCGTCCGGTTCAGCTCCTGTGGTGGTAACGGCCGTCTCCCTTGCCGTGCACTCGGTGACGAAGTCAGCTAAGGCTTGCCCTTTGATGGATGGCCTCGGCTTGATCTCAATCTGGTACTGGCTCAGGAATATCGCCCATTTGATCATCCTTGGAGAGCTGGTTGGGCTCCTCATGAGGGCGCCCAACGGCTGATGCGTGAGGACGTGGACGAGGTGGGCCTGGAAATAGTGACCCAGTTTTTTCACCGTGTGGACGATGGCCAACACCGTCTTCTCAATGGGGGAGTACCTGAGCTCGGCCTCCCGCAACGTCTTGCTGACGTAGAATATTGCCTTTTGTACTCCGTCATCCTCCCTGATGAGTACGGAGCTGACGGCCGACGTGCTCACTCCTAAATAGAGGAAGAGAGTCTCGCCGGGTTGGGGCTTGGATAGGACGGGTGGGGAGGCGAGATATTGCTTCAGTTCGTCAAAGGCTTGTTGGCACTCCGTCGTCCATTTGAAACTAGTGGCCTTTCTCATTATTTGGAAGAAGGGGAGCGACTTCTCCGCGGATTTTGAAAGGAAACGGTTCAGGGCCGCAAGGCGTCCCGTCAGCCGTTGTACTTCTTTGATGTTGCGGGGTGGCTCCATATTGATGATGGCTTGTATTCTCTCCGGGTTCACCTCGATGCCCCTTCGACTGACCAGGTACCCCAGGAATTTACCTCCCTGGACGCCGAAGGTGCATTTCTTTGGGTTGAGCCGGAGGTTGTATCTATTCATGATCTCGAAGATGCCCCGGAGGTCGTCGGCATGGGTTGTGGATTGTTTGCTCTTGACGATCATATCGTCGACGTATGCTTCCATCGTCCGACCTAAGACTGCTCTAAAAATCCGGGCTACCATCCTTGTGTAGGTGGCGCCGGAGTTCTTGAGCCCAAAGGCCATGACGAGGTAGCAAAAAATTCCTTCCGGGGTCATAAAAGCGGTCTTCTCCGCGTCATCTTCGTGCATGGATATCTGGTGGTACCCTCTGAACGCGTCGAGGAACGACATCAACTCGCACCCCGCCGTCTCATCCACCAACTGATCAATGTTGGGGAGAGGGAATGGGTCCATTGGGCACGCCTTGTTCAAGTCAGTGTAATCAACACACATTCTGAACGTAGGCGGCTTTGGGGCGAGGACGACGTTCGCCAACCACGTGGGGTACTTCACCTCTCTGATGTGCTTGATGTTGAGCAGCATGGCCACCTCGGCCTTGACAAATTCCCTCCTGTCGGCTGAGAGGTAGCGCTTCTTCTGTTTGATGGGGGAGGAGGCCGGGTTCACCGATAGCCGATGTGTGATTACCTTCGGGCTGATGCCCGGCATGTCCTCTGGCCCCCATGCAAAGACGATGGCGTACGCCCTTAGGACAGAGAGGATGTCCCTTCTGATTTGTTGGGGGAGCTGTGTCCCAATCTTCAGCATGCGTTCTGGCCGGG